TAAACAGGTTTCCGATATTTTGTTCTTATTTTGAAAATCTCATAAAACAGTAAAAGCTAGATCTTCTTCGATTTTTATCTAAATGATATTTGCGGATAAGTTTAAGCTTGAATGCTGAAAAATGTACAGGGTGTCCCACGAAACATAGCAGTTGAAAGACGAATTGAAGTTCGCCTTTTATCTTTGAATATGATTATGGCATTAAGTAAAATTCTTGAACTAATAGCCATATTCCTAAGTACTAGTATTTTTAAAATGTGGTCTACCTTTTTTTCTTTCAAAATTAGCCAAGATATGAAGACTTACGTTCATAATTCTTAAATTTTGTTTTATCTATTATCAATAAAAAAGATTTAATCCGAACGAAACCTTGTTATCTCCGGTAATATTTAGAGCAAAAAAATGCAGACCACATTTTAAGAATGCCAGGACAGGGAAATTTGTGATTATTGTTTCAAGAATCATATTTGTAAAAGTAGATTGAAGAATAAATGCCGCAAATGATTTCAAAGATCAACGACGACCTTGAAATCGATATTCAAATGTCATGTTTTGTAGGACACCCTGTATTTTTGTTTGTAGAACCAATATAATTTTTATTTCAGATCTAGAAAACATTATTTTTGTTTACAATTAAGAGAAAGTTCATGATTTTAAACTATAATTTAATTTTCCAGTTTTTTTACAACCTAAATATTTAATATTTTAATACTTGAATATATATTTTTTTGGCAACACAAAATAATTTATGTATTTAATATGAACGTTTTTGAATGTTGTATTCGTTGATTTTATCTTTCACTATTCTTCTAATCCAAAAATTGTGTGAACAAAATATGCTTTAAAAGTTTATTTTGAAAAAGATATTAGAAACATGAATAAATCCGGAGAAAACTTTATAAATTGTTGATAAATCTAATAAACACTTTGTTTGTTGTTGTTGTTTCAAGCAATCCTCTACTTCTCGGCTAGGACACGTAAGGGGACCGAGCGACGCGGCATGTCAGGGGACTGAGCACACCGGCCCCCTTTATGTATGCAAAAATAGTTATATGGACAGGTTTACCCACAAAGGACGCTATAATGAAATCCATGAAATATGATGATCAGAAAGTTAAATTTAGGCTGCTGTCTTGAAAATAGTTATAAAGGCATAAACTGAATACACTAGCTAAGAAAGGCACATGATGACAGCTGCAGAAACCGTGAATGTAAGATATAAGATTTGAACATTCTGTACAGTCGTCTCTGAATATATCCACGATGAGGGGGGATGCGCTGGGACTGTTTAGGTGGGGGGAGTGCAGAAAATATTCCAAAGTTACCAATCTATTTCATCATCTGTGTTTATGTACTGTGTATTATATTAGCAGCTTTAAATATTTTAAAGATGAATCTCTATTTCTGTAAATCTTGAACCCCTTGTTAATTATATGTTAAACTGCTTTGTAAACAAGCCACAGTTTGTTTACCTTTTAGCTTCTCCCAATTTGCTCAAATCATATATTAACAATACAGGGGGTTTCCGAAAGAAAACATTAATAAATGAAAATTTCCCACACAAAACATTTTTTGTGATTCAAAAAAAAACATGTTTGTTTCTAAAACTTCGTAAAAATTACAAACATGTCTATTGCATATTTTGCGCGCGTCTTCTGAGTTGGCATAAAATATTAAATAAATAAAAAAGCGAATGAAAAAAAATTCTGGTGGTTAAAATATTTCTGGATGCTTGGTATAGTTTGATTATCCTAGATATATAGGAGACAGGTGCTAATCCTAATCCTTATCTTGATAACGCTCCTTGAAACTAGGACATCAAACAGAACCTTGATGGACCCCTTTAGATAAGTTTTAGGGACCCATTTTCAGCTCATTTAAAGACTTTTTAATTCTGCTCAAATTAGCTTGTGTAATATTTGAAATTACCATGAAGGAACTCTATATAAGTAGGTGTTATTAGATCAGATTTACAACGGATCCCTTAATCAATGAAATATCTCTTTAAAATCTCTTTTAAAATGAAATAGTTTCAATTGTGATTTCTCTAAAAAGTGACTTGTGGATTTCTTTAAAAACACAATGTAACTATTTTTAAGCTAGAAAATCAACGATATCTTCCGCATTTTTATGGGTACCGTTGTGAATCAGTAATGCCTCTCTGTAAATGGGAAGTCACTTAAAATTACAACAAAAGTGCCTAAAAGAGCCTCTAAGCGTTATTTCAAGTGACCCACCAAATAACCTTGATCTGATTAATAATGTTGAAATTTTTGACGTTTTTTTAGGTTCAACAGTTTCTGATTCTAACAATTCCCATATGTTTTTCTGCCGGAAAAATGCGCAAGCCACTTTTATAGGGAAACCGCAGTTGAAAATAAACAGTTTAAAGAAACAATAACATTGATATACAATCCATACTTGATCAGACAAAGCCTTTAAGTGTACTGTTGTAAATCTGGCCTTGTCATCTTTGCATGATATAATGCTTACAATTCCTGTAAGTAGATGTTTTTTATAAGATTAATTTCTGGAAAATAATAAACAAATTTTACGAGTAGCAGAACTTCACACCAAATACAGTGATATTCATTTTATTCAAATTTTAATGTCATCATGAACATTTTTCAGATATAATTTCAAGAATTGTAACTAAGACATAAGAGAGATTTGTCTTCATAAATTGAGGGGTAGTCCGAAAAAGAGGTTGATTGACTTTAGGACTAAAACTTTAGACACCCCCTGTAGAAAGCTAACAAGAAAAATGTTAATTGTGCAAAGCAAGTTAACTGTTAACTTACAAGACCTTTTTATTTTGGGGAATTTTGAATTTAAAGTAGAAACGTAAAAATAAATAATTAGTTATAGTTGTTCTTCAGTATATATGTATGATATATAACCAAGGAAATGAGTGAAACCATTGTTAAAAATATGATATGTTAATTTTAAAACAAATGTATTAGTCTACTCTGTGCCGGGCTGTAGGCTCATGTATAAATTATCTAAACAAGCTTTTTAAAATAAATAAGAAACCGTCTGAAAACAGAGAATAAGAACTTAACATTCAATGGACAAAAATAAATATAGATTAAAACTGATTGTTTAACAGATATAACAAGAAAGACAGAAGCCCCACACGGCCCCCCAGGGCGGATAACGCCTCGAAATCGAATGGTTTTGTGAAGAAAATTAAGGGGGACAAAGAAAAAGTTTATTTAGATCTAAAAGAGTAAAACAAAAGGACAGGGCGCTAAAAAGGCTTTCCGAATCATCGAATTTTGGAAAAAATAATGTTAACCATTTAAAAATGAAAGGTTACTGACTCCGATTTTTTTATTTCTTTAGCAACTATACGTTTTTTAACACAAGAGAAGCAAAACTAAAAAAATAAAAAAACATTAAAAACAATTCCTGTGTTTCATGTTCATACTGTCTATTCGAAATCATAACTTGAGTCAAACTGTTATCTTCCTATTCCAGAGCTTTATGGGTCTCCCTGTACTATTTGCATGTAGCATCATGTTATATTGACTCTCCCTGTAGTTGTACATATATGTTTTAATCAACGATGCATGAAATCTTAAAATTTGAATTGCAATTTGTTTAATTACTTCTTGTTTAATTGCTTTTGCCAAATCAATTTCAATTCTAGGGGGGTTTTCTTTGGATTTCGAAAAGGAAACACAAATGTAAATATCAAATATTTTTCCCTTTTAAAAGAAAAAATAGTTAGACAATTATTTGTAATTTTGAACTGTATACAAACTACAAAACTCGCTTTAAAATTACGAACATGTGTGTTCAAAATTATGAACAGATTGTTACAGATATTTCACAAACTTTTATATTCCTATCATTATTTATGTAATTTAGAATGGGACCTGCGCATTTCTGTTTTAGAAAAACATAAAGGAATTATCAGAATTAAACAATTTTATACCGAGAAAGGTCACTTGAAATTATGCTTACAGTTTCTTTGAGTGTTGAACAATCATACAAACTTTGTCTTTAATTAACTCGAAGACGACTTCTGCATTTCGTCGATCAATTCCGGTTTTATTTTGACACCCTGTACTATTTAAACATAAATTAAAGCATTAAATTAGATATCCCGTAATATCAAGCATCACATAATATATATATATGTAGGATCAACGAGGTTATAGTGTACAGAGTGATGATGTACGCTAATCCTTTACTAATTGTATAGGTTCCCGAGAGCGTACTGCTTATTTGTTTGTTTAAGATGATTCTGGCCTAACCTATAGTGTATTAATATTAGTAAACAGTTGTAAGTGTACAGTACAGCTAACTGAGCACACAGGTAGAGAACTATCCTCCCCCCCCCCATAACGATCTAAAGCTTAAATACGGGTTTGTGTCTCAAATATCGTCTTTGAATGGTGTATTTAAATAAGTCGGTCAAAAAAAAAACAAGCTTAAAGTTGCAGGGAATTGTAAACTTAATAAATTCTGTAAAGTCTTCTCATCTTTTTGAGCAACTCTGTACATACTATATATGTCTGTCTATATATATGTAGAACTAAACTCGATCACCAAACATGACTTGAATAAAATCTTTAACTTATTGATACACTCTAAATTTTAAATGATAAAAATAAGACTTTCAAAAATAAATTTTAATTGTGTAAACTTTTATCTCTTTCTCTATGTTCTTCAGACTCTATTTCAGTTGTTTTTTAATCTTAATTTTACCAATCAAAATATTTATTTTAAATTGACAATTCTTTAGTGGCCAAAATTTTCGAATTAAAAGTTAAATGAAAACAATTTTATCGTTATCAAAATATTAAGACATCATAATTCATAACATGTTGATTTTATTGCAGTGTGATAATTTACTCATCTTAAGTTATAATTACAATAATAAAAACAAAGTTTAAAATTAAATAAAAATTGTGATATTCTAGAAAAATGTATATTTAACAAAAGAATGAATATAAGAATACAAATATAATAAAATTTTAAAATCAAATAATTCTATTTACAATTTCTAAATCCAGTTGAGAAATTAAACAAGAGAGGCATGAACTGTTTTGTTCGGAACTGCTGGAGGAACCTTTCTAGGTTTAGGTTCAGGACGGAGAAACTTCTCTCGTACGTCCTGATAGGACGGAGTCACAACCTGGAGCGTATCCCCGACCATCTCATGGTCGCTTCCGCTCACGGACACAGAGCAGTCCGTTGACTGTCCGACGGTGAATGTAGAATTTACAGGAGAAATTGACGGAGAGTTTTGAGAGTTTTGTGATTGGATTTTTTGATGAAAATATCTCAGATCTTCCTGATTTGGAGTTTTGGAGGATATTTTTACATGATATTGATCACAGAAACGCGCGTTGTTATTTGTAATCTCTTGTGCGCTTGCCTTCTGTGGCGATCTGAGCGCATATTCAAGCATTTCTGGAAGATCATAACCGCTCATGTAACTGATTGAATTCCGCATATAACTCTGATCATGGCAGAGGTCTGGCAGGGAAGAGTTATCTTCAGAGTTTTGATCCGTGTTGATTTTCCTTCCACAGACTCCGAGACGACGGATGATGATTGTGAGAATGATGACGATGATGATGAGGATGAACGAGATGACCCCTGCGATGATGTACATCATGGATTCAGAATGAATAAATGATTTCAAGGGAAGAGTTTTACTCACATCCTTCATACTCAGAAACTTTGTTGTCGAATCCTCTGTTGTTGTTGTAACCGGTTCCTTAACATAAACAGAGATAATATTGGATACTTCTCCTCTGTTCCCAGCGGAGTCAAATGCAACAATAGCGTAGTAAAACACCTCCTCCGGCCAGGGAACGCCCACTGTACATCTCTGCTCCACCCCCTGTACGTCTGGGCTGGGTACAAGAGAGGAATGAACTAGTATTCCCTGTTCAGCAAAGTTCTCCTGGCTCAATGCTTGTCTACCAGTAAAACATCTGATTTCATATCTAAAAGCTTGGCCGGCGTTGAAATCATTTCCCGGTGCGCTCCAGGCTAGAGTTACAAACAGGGAATTGTTAAAATAATTTGCAAGTTTAAAATCTGTGATTCTGGAAGGGGGGAGGGAGTCCCTTTTCTGAACCAATCCTGAGGAAACAAAGAATTCTGAGGTTGAGTTTAGGTAGAAGGAGGGAGAGGTGGAATACCTCCGGAAGGACTCTAGCGGGATCTGAGGTTGGGTTGGAAAATTTGATCCTCTGGCCTCCAGACTTAATTGATCAACCTTCTTTACATTAATGACTCCAGCAGTTGCATTGTTCACAGCTTCTACATACACGGAGTATACTCCGGGTACATCGGAGAACTGGGAGAAATATCCGGAGTAAATCCCGTCTCCGGACACAATATCCGGGTATCCTAATCCATTGTCTAGTAGCTCAACCTTGGTGATTGCATCTCCAGGTTTAGATATCACAGCAAATATTTGAGCATTGAGAACTGGAAGACCAAGCTGGTCCAACTTTGCATAGATATAAACAGGCTGATGAGGCTCATCCGTCATCCTTGTCCAGGATCTTAAACTGATCTCTCCTGATCCTCCGCTTCCCCAACATTCAAGGATCATTCTACGATCCCTAGCTGCCGAGGCGTAGAACTTGATCCTGTAGCTCCAGACCCCTGTCTCCCTGGGACCCCGGAGAGAAAAGTAAACCAAACCCGCGTCAAACTTAGGAAAGGAGAATATTTGACCAGAGGGAGATTTAATCTCAAAAACATTAATGTCCGTTGTGTCATCCAGCAGAATTTGAAGCCATAGATCAGAACTGAGACTAGGTTCCACAACAAAACTTCCTTCAGTATCCAGGGTTTCCAAGCTCTCCATATGGAACTTTTTACTGGGGTAGGAATCTGACAAGCTAGCCAGGGCTAAACTCACATCACTGGTTATATTTAGAATATTTTCATTCTCATTGATCATATAAACGGGTCTACGGCTGTCCAAAGATTGTCGGCTAAACTTGCCAAAGACTATCCTCCGAATGATTGGATTGGCGCTCTGCTCGAATTTCATTAACTGTGTGTGGTTTTTGTCTGTGACAGATGAAGATAAAATGATTATTGTGCTGGTGTTGGTAGCCAAGTCTCCGGCAGCTGAAAATCCGCAAAAAATGCAGGGCTCAGAATCTCCGGAATCCGGAGCAACCCGTCTGGGTATCCGGTAATGTAATCCTTCTCTGTTTCCACCCACTACCCTGGTTGCTTGAAGATGGATTGTAGCTTCAGCTCCATAAGTTATAATCGCTAACTCAGATCCCTCCGGAAGAGCATTGATAAACTGAAAGGTACTGGATAGGATTGCACTCCATAGGTTTGCCATACCCTGAGATTGTTCAATAAGAAGGATTACTCTCTCAGTATCAGACGGAACTACGTATTCAATTTGAGACCTGGAGAACTTGACAGGCTCATTACCAAGAAACTGATTGAGGATGGTTTGACGACCAGGATTCTCAGCACAGAGCAGGTTTTGTTTAGTCTCCGCCGCGGAGTCATAACTTGAGATGGGACACAATCCTCCGCCGTTTATCAACTCTTCCGCCGTACATCCGGCATTACGAAGCTCTCCTAATCCTAGGGTTCGGTTCTCAGGGTACATAGGATCTGTGCTATATCCAACCTCGGAAAAAATTCCGTATCTCCATCTGGTGAGTTCAAGTAAGGTTTGGTTCAGATTCTTTTCTTGTATATCAGGTGTTTCTGTCAGAAAGGAAAATGGAATATATGTTTTTAAACCTTGAACATTACAGCCTCCGAACTGTTCAGAGTAGGTTCCGGAGGAGAAGACTGGATGGGAACCGGAGATAAGGATTTCCTCCGAACTGACCCGTCCCTCCGAGGTTTTAATTTCCATGGTACACTCTGTATTTCTCCAGGCAGATGGGATCTCTACTCTATATCCGGAGACTAGATCGGAGCCCCCGGAGAGAAGATGAAACTCCTCCGAGATTTGGTTCAACAAAACCTGAAAATAAAAAGGTGTAAAAGTTTACAATCCAACATAAAAACAAGCGCTTAATGTTATAAAAGGGAAGGGATAGTTTGCAAATGAGATAAAAGAAAAAAAGGAAAGAAATAAAAGAAAAAATTAGATGATTTTTAGAGAAATATTAGGAATTAGAGGGGGCAAATTACAACTGCGACTGAGGGCATAGAAAATATTTTTGAACGGATGTTTTGGGTTTAAATTATATCTTGTTCATTCGTGACAGATATATATTAAAGTTTGAGCAGTAGTACCTTCAGGCGGGGGGGANGGAGAGAGAATCCAGACCCGTCTTTGCAAATCTACCATTTGAATGATAAATTCGCATTGGATGCATGAAACTCGCCATTTAGTGCAAGACACTGACTTTTTTGCAAACTAGTCCTTCATTTTGCCAAACATTTGCTGATGCTAAGATTAATAAATTTGAAAGTCATAGTCAATCATTTTAATGCTACAGTGGCTTTTAGATCGAAAATAAAACCCTAAAATTCAAATCATACAATAATTATACATGCTATACATGTATGAACCAGACAACTATGGAATATGCACACAAAATTACAGTGGCGCATGTTCATTTAAAATCACAACTTAAGTTCAAAATTCGTCAATCCATTCCACAGTTTTCTGGTTGTACGTATGTCTTTATAAATAAAAATAAAGAAAAAGTGAAAAAAAACCGAAGCAATATTAAATTAAAGCGAAATGTAAAATTTATATTTTATGGAAACTTAAACAATCATGAAGAAATGTAATTTAATATTACCACGGAAATAATTTTTTAAACAATCTGAGATCATTAAAGATTTAATTGGATTTAAACTGAATTTAATTGATGATCCATTGTAAACAAAACTAGATATTTCAGAAATCAAATTACCTCTAAATTTTTAATTGCTCGTCTGCACAAATGTCTGGGAAGAGATTCCGAAATTTTGACGGAAATAATATTATTTGAATCTATTTCACTAGCTGCCAAGCTAGTCCTACTGCTTACAGCAGAGATGATTAGTAAATAGCTAAACAATTTCATTTTAAAGTGTTCTTTTAGCTTAGCACAGCATCACAATGTACGTCTTTCCCCTTTGAGAGCCTGTGACTTACTGAAGACTGGACTGGGTCTGAAATGACTGACTGACCAGGAAGGTCCGAGTAAGCGGACGGTATACGGTGTGTGTGGTTTCGCGGATTTTGCGGTTCAGACCGCCGGTAATATCAGGACTCTCCGGTCTTTCGTGGATTTCCTATCACGATACACCTAATCATAATAAACGCGCAGTGGACAATTTAATAAGTAAGCCGGAAATTGGACCTTTGAAGTTTCTCTTGATCCCCCCCCCCCCCGTCCGTTCAAAAGTGTGTGTGTGGGGGGGGGGCTTGCTAATATAATGTAAGAAAATCCAGAATTCAGGATGATAGAATTAACACCTATGAAGCGTGCCCTGTGTTGAATATATTGAGGTTTAAGCGCGCATTTCCGTCAAAATTTGAATTTAGTATCCTTTTAATCGTCATTATTATTCAGAATCGGGGTTTTAATGAATACACGGAGAATAATCGTAAATCTGCGAAAACTGTTTATTAAAAGTTGTTTTGAAAGTTTTCATTTTGGGTTCATGTGAACTTTTGTTTGATTTATATCTTTTGGTTTAAAAAAATCTATGCTTCATGTTGGAAAAGTTTTTAACCATAGACGAAAATCTTGCCAATTTTAATATTTGAGAAGTTAATCAAGCATAGGGAGAAACTTTTGATTTTGATACCACTAAACTTAACATTTACGGTGACAACTTTTACATTGAAGGATTTAAGTTTCAAGTCCTTTGAACATTTAAACGATAATTAAAAAAGAAAAAATTAAGCGTCTTGGTTAAGCCATCAAGTGGAATAGAAACCAGAGATTCAATACACAAAAGTTTCTAACAACTGGCTTCAATGACAATATAAATAAATCAAATATAAATGCATTTTCGAGGTCATTTACCTTTATGTTTGCAGCTCATGTATGCAACTGGACTTTTTTGCAATTGCAATAATTGTGATAACCATTTCGTTTCTTTACGGTATTTATCTGGTTCAGTTTTGCTTTACATAGCATTATTTAAACTATGTAGCTATCATATAAATATTTTTTTGTTTAAAAAGATTATTGAGTAAAAAAACTTCTTAAAGGGAGTGTTCGCGAAAAATGAAAGGGGGTATAGGCTTAATGCGATAAAAAAGCGCTTTTGATCGCTACTAATCTTACTTCTATCTGTTGCGTCTATAAGGAGAAAATTGTTAAAGACGTCTCATACCGAATAACTTAGCGTCCATACAAATTGAGAAAAATGCAACATACGACTTAGACCGTAAAAAAATCAATTTAATTTCAAACAAATCATTCAGATATTACAACCTATAGTCATCGATTATCTTTCGCCACATTTGTATATAGTTTATATTTTATAATTTTTTTAATTAATTTGTTTTGAATTTGATTATTTCTCTTGTCGCTTGCGCAACTATCCAAGAATGCTGCGCCCCACTCACATTTTTCGAAATCCGTTTAAACGTTTTCTAAAAAATAAAATTAATTTGAAAATATAAACTATATACAAATGTGGCGAAAGATAATCGATGACTATAGGTTGTAATATCTGAATGATTTGTTTGAAATTAAATTGATTTTTTAAGGTCTTAGTCGTATGTTGCAATTTTCTGAATTTGTATGGCCGCTAAGTTATTCGGTATGAGACGTCTTTAACAATTTTCTCCTTATAGACGCAACTGATAGAAGTAAGATTAGTAGCGATCGAAAGCGGTTTTTATTGCATTAAGCCTATACCCCCTTTCATTTTTCGCGAACACTCCCTTTAAGAGGATAACAATTGCTGAAATATTGAACTAATTTAGGAATATCTGAATGGAAAATCATAACAGAGGCAAATGGTAATATGTAATGTCTTACAAATGATCCCGATGGGTTTAAAAATCTTGAATTAGAAAATAGTTATACACACGCATTTTGCAAAATTTCATGTTTTTGGCCCATTTCTAAAATTTTCGATTTTTTTAAGAACCAAGAAACATATAACAGTTCACCTGTATATTCCAAAGTTTAGTCTAAGAATTAAATCTTTTCCTAAAAGCATTTCAAATCCAAAATGGCTGATAAATCGCTGATATTTTCCCATTTTTAACAGAACAACGAGAAAGTCTTCATTGGATCTTTTATCAGATAAAGATAAAGGTGTTTTCAAACAGTGCATGTAATTTGAACACCCCCGTGTTATAAAAGTAATATTATTGGTACACCCTGTAAATGCTATATTATGACTAAACCCTGCAACTTTAAAAGTTGTATTATTTGGTACACCCTGAACAAGAGTTATATTATTAGTACAATTAAAAAATTCAAATGTGGTATAATTGGTAGATAGACCCTGTAATATTAATATTATTGGAATACACCCTGTAAAAGTTGTAAAGACAGGATTACATTGCAAGATTAATGCTAAAATCAATACCTAGGTGGGCTTAGCGTCAAAACCTAAGTTTGCGAACAAAAAGCTCTACTGTAAATACCAAGGGGGGATTTCAAGGGGGGGGGGGTAAATCAATTTGGCAATATATGTAGTTGTGAAATTAGATTCCACATGGTTGATGTAAAGAGAATTGTTAACTATAATTGAATTAAAGAGACAGTTCACTATTGTTCATTATAATGGATTTAAAGAAAATGTTCAGTATAATGGATTTAAAGAGACTGTTCACTATAATGGAATTAAAGAAACTGTTCACAAAACTGGAATTAAAGAGACTGTTCACTATAATGGAATTAAGGAAACTGTTCACTATAATGGAATTAAGGAAACTGTTTACTAAAATGGAATTAAAGAAACTGTTCACTATAATGGAATTAAAGAGACTGTTCACTATAGTGGAATTAAGGAAACTGTTCACTATAATGGAATTAAGGAAACTGTTTACTAAAATGGAATTAAAGAAACTGTTCACTATAATGGAATTAAAGAATTGTTCACTATAATGGAATTATAGAAACTGTTCACTATAATGGAATTAAAGAAACTGTTTACAATAAAGGAATTAAAGAAACTGTTTACTATAATGGAATTAAATAAACTATTCACTATAATAAAATTAAAGAAACTGTTCACAATAAAGGAATTAAAAAAACTGTTTACTATAATGGAATTAAATAAAATGTTCACTATAATGGAATTACAGAAACTGTTCACTATAATGGAATCAAAGAAAATGTCCACTATAATGGAATTAAAGAAACTGTTCACAATACAGGAATTAAAGAAACTGTTTACTATAATGGAATAAAAGAAACTGTTTACTATAATGAAACTAAATAAACTATTCACTATCAGAGAATTAAAGAAATTGTTTACTATAATGGAATTAAAGAAACTGTTCACAATAAAGGAATTAAAGAAACTGTTTACTATAATGGAATTAAAGAAACTGTTTACTTTAATGGAATTAAAGAAACTGTTTACTATAATGAAATTAAAGAAACTGTTTACTTTAATGGAATTAAAGAAACTGTTCACTGTAATGGAATTAAAGAAACTGTTTACTATAAAGGAATTAAAGAAACTGTTTACTATAATGGAATTAAAGAAACTGTTTACTATAATGGAATTAAAGAAACTGTTCACAATAAAGGAATTAAAGAAACTGTTTACTATAATGGAATTAAAGAAACTGTTTACTGTAATGGAATTAAAGAAAATGTTCACTATAATGGAATTAAAGAAAATGTCCACTATAATGGAATTAAAGAAAATGTTCACTATAATGGAGAGTAACTTGAAATTACAGTTACATTACAGTCCCTAACAAGCCTACCTAAGTTTTGCTTCGGTAAAATATTTTCACTTGATATATTCTAGTAATTTGGTCTAATCACATCAAAAAATTAAGCTTAGTCGTATGTTGCAATTTTCTGAATTTGTATGGCCGCTAAGTTATTCGGTATGAGACGTCTTTAACAATTTTCTCCTTATAGACGCAACTGATGTTATTCTGATCATTGTAATACTTTGCTGCTTGAAGCATATTCAAATTACTAAAGATTGAGAATTTTTTCTAGGATACTTGCGGATTTTTTCTCCTAAAGTTTATGAATTTTATCATGTTTCATTCATAGAAAAATTTCAGGAGTTTGTCTTTCAGGAGTTTGTCTTTCAGGAGCTTGTCATGGCACTGGGAATGCGGGGAGAGGGAGGTCAGATGCGGTTTAACAAAATTCCTAAATTTTGCATCAAATTTGAACCAAAAATGAGTTGCAAGTTTTGTGCGGAAAGATTACCTTGAAAAATACTCCAGCATATATTCTTTACGATTAAAAAAAAGAAATATTTGAAACTTTAAAAAATTTCTTGAGTAAAATTCAAATAAATCTATTGTTTCCATACTGGAAATGGGGGAGGAGCAAACATTATTAACCGGGGGGAGGGGGGCTAAAGGGAGATTACCGCCCCCCCCCCTGCCATGGTATTGTCTGATAGACAAGATGAATAGATATGAAGGTATAAAGACAAGTAGAAGGAGTTGATGAAAGACGGATGAAAAGATATAAAGATTAAACCCGTCCTGCTCCAGCTCAGATCCAACCCGTCCTGCTTTGCTCCGGGTACTCCATCCATCTGACTCCAAACATCAAACTTCTCAACAGGACTTAATCTCCAGATCCCACTTATTCCAGATTCAGGTGACTAGTTAAAATATTCAGCTAACTAACCTTCAATACTTCCGAACCTAGATCCTATTTAATCGTAATTTTATCTTTACTTGTCTTTTTCGCCGCAGAGCTCGACCCCACCATAGCCTGTTATAGCCGCGGTGCTCGGCCCAGAACATCGACTGCAGTTCTTTGATAAAAACTGTCTTTTCTTTGATCTAATCTATTCTTTTTACAGCAAAAAATCTTATATTTTTCATTCTTATTTTTTATCTTCTGCTTCCATTTACCGTAGCTATTGAAAGAACTTTCTTTCACTTTTGATTTTTTTAATGATTTTTTTCAGCAAACCATCTTTCTTTTATTCTTTATAGTCATACCTTTTGCTAAGTCTTTCCTTATTAATTTTTTATCTCTTCTTTATTTTTCCATTTCATGCACTCACACTTTTCATTTTATC